CTAAGTTATAGATAATGTTATTTATCATTATTCTTTGCACGACCATTTGTCACGAAGTACTGGGGGATCCTAGTACTTCTTGCATTCGCATAGTCTCCTCGCATTCCTACTTCATAAAGGTTTTCGTTCTTTATGAATCTCGTGGAACGGTGGCTGAGACTACTCTCTTTGCAGTCTTGGAGGCAGCCGAGCTAACAAGTTCTCTTAAGGAGATCGGTTGATTAATTACAAAAGAGTGTTGAGGAAAGGTCATACCTGCGAATCGTTCTTCAAATCGCTTTTTATAACAGTACTCTGCTACATCGCCAACCACTTCGGCTCTGCGTTCCTACTGATACTGAATTTATAAACAAGGCGTGATTCCCAGGTTTAATCTGTCGTATGTCTCATGCTTCAAACTTATTTTTATTGTAAATAGGTGTACAAGTGTATTTGCAAATTTTTCCATACCAATTCAGCCTCAAATCTCTTCAAAGCAACCACTCCAGTCGTTTGTTGTCTAAATAAATAGTTGCGTGGTCGCTTATGATCAAGCTTATGTTAACAAGTAGTACCAACTGGGCAAACTCCTCTCAGTCTCGGTTGAGATGTTCTCATAAGCGCTTAGTGGTGGGCGCTTTCTCGTCACGGTTACTTTGATGAGATCGACTCCGATCTTTTCATCTTGAATTTCAGCTATGGTATTCAACACAAGCTCCTACCCTGACTGTAAGCATAAAAAGAATTTTAACATTTGTCAGCCTGTTGTGGCTTCTCATATTTTATTGATGATACTCTTATACAATATAATAGCATTAGGAGTTTTACACAACAACATAACACACACACACACCACACACACACACACAACACACACACACACACACACACACACACACACACACACACACACACACACACACACACACACATACACACACAACACACACACACACACACACACACACACACACACACACACACACAACACACACACACACACACACACACACACACACACACACACACACACACACACACACACACACACACCCACACACACACACACACACACACACACACACACATACACACACACACACACACACACAAATTTCTTGCAGTATAAACAATAAGTCCATCCTTCAGAACCATATCTCAAATTAAGTACATTGGCAGCTGCGACGCTATTTTTATCCACCATCGAAGACGTGTTCTAGTAGACTGATCTCAGTGTGCTTGATATACCTGGAGAACATGAACTGGTCTATTTTGATCGAAAAGTCACGGATATTGAATGCAATTACTCCGTGTGGCACACTTCTTATGGCCTTTCATTAACCGGTTGTAATGAGCACTTGATAAACTAAATTCTCTACTCTTGTATTTTCAATCAAAATCAACATATTTCATTTCTTTCCCATGTTAATGACCATTTCTTAGACTGCGTGTTTTTCTTCACCGTACTTACTTAGATACTTAGAAGATTTATCTTCACATATTGTAGGGAAACTGACCTTTTTTCATTTGATTTATTGTGCTGTAATCGTTCAGTGATATACTGTTGCTGATCGGGTGTGGTTTACCACCTTTAGGAAGCATGAGCCCTAAACTTGATGGTCAATACTTGGTGAAAGGATTTTCTCAGAAACCAGGAAAATTTTGGCGGTGGCGATCGTTGCGATTACCAGATTGTTCAGAATGATTTTTCCTTCGGTCTTTTTGTTAAGTTTTCATGTTACTCTGAGCGTTGAGTTATCGCTCAATTTGCGAAATCATTCGTGGCAGTGCCTTTTCATCGCGCAACTCTTCTTCATCTATTGTGATAATCGCCTTTTTTCACACTAAAGCAGCACTCTTGAGGACATCCGAAAACGGCAATAATATCATCTGACTTTAAATAGTCAGTGATGTCTCTAAATTCTGAAAAAGCAAGTACGGCAAACAGAACTGGCTATCATGCCTTGCACTGCAATTGATTAACTGGTTATCCACTATCGATTACTGGTGTCCTGGAGCTGCTCGTTTGAGAGTTTGTTAATAATCAATTGGGCTGATAGCTAGCCATATGACCGCGGAGGTCCTCCGTGTAAATAAATTTTCACCTGAAATTCTCGACGCACATATGATCTTGTTCTAGATTCTTTTCGTTTTGAAACGTACGAAGAAGTTCGCTATTTCGGAGAGACGTTCGTATTCTCGCATTTTCTCTTCGCAGTGATTTTTTTACAACATTCTCTCTTTCTCTCTCTTTTTTCCTTTCTTCCTCTTGAACAGTCGACATTGCCGAGCTCAATCTATTTCAGGTTTCCATCTAGCAATTTATGCATGAATGACGCTACAAATGGTGACGTAGAGGTTTTTAGAATGCTGTCACTCTGAAGCTTCTTATCGTGGATCATCACAAATCTCTAAATTAGTGAAAATTCATCTGTAGAACAACTTTCCATATGTATCAATAGCTACGACTCCAATGGGATTTTGTTCGAGATCCGAGCCATCAATACGGACGAGGACCAAAGAATTTTGTTGTTTCCATACATCAAGCGAGATTTTTGTCGTCGCGCTGACGTCGTATAGGAGACTATGCTGAGTCACTCTAACTCTCGTATCCCTGATATCATCGACTCACCATTGTTTCACTTTGTTTTTCTTATAACTGAGTCATTTTTGAGACTACTGACCTGCTGAAATCTATGTCTAGACGTTTCTCATCACATCGATAAGTTACTGTGCATTCATCAAAGTCACCTGTATCACCTGTCGTCCCGTTGATCGTCGAGTGACTCGAGCGGGTACCAGCAACTCTTCCATTTTTCCCTATCGCGTGCAAGAGTAGCCCAGTGGGTCCTCCTCACTCTAGGGATTCGCTGAGCATCATATCTTCAAAGTACCCCTAAAATATCCGTCATAGCCTCTACTCGTTCCTCCCGAGGCAGTCATAGATAGGATTAGAATTGTTTGAAATGTGCATTCAAAGCAGAAAACAGTGTATTCAAAAGGAACTCGCATATTATTCTAGTCATTGAACAATCATCATCTGTCATCTTCGATAATATATAACGTATCTCATAACTATTATTGGGTACTGTTCTAATATGGCGGCGCCACTTGAGGCCTTCGTCAAAAGCGTATTCTTTACTATTATTTGACGAGTGTATGATTATATGATAGCTTAAATCAAGTGAATTCTAAAGGTTTATTTTATTTCTCATATTGCTGCTTTTAACGCCGTACTAGTCAAAATGAGACTTTGTTTCACATTTGAGGATTTCTCGCCTGATGAAAGTTAGTCTATATCAAATTCTCAACCACTAGATAGAGCGAATCTTTTCTGATTGAGAAATTGTGTTTGCTCTCTGATATTACAGCTGTACCCACACCCTATTCCGACTAGAAGTGCTCACTGAGTGTGAAACCCAATATTCTTTTGGTCGTTACAAAGCTCGAAAAAGGTCTTCCCGAAAGCCAAACATACTATCATAATTGGGAAGATTTTCTCTATCGAACTATCAAAGACTCATTACAACAAAACTCTTATCCAGTGAGAAATCTCTGAATGAGAGACAAAATCTTAATTTACTGGTACGGCGCCAAAAATAAGCTATTTGAGAAGTTAAACATACCATTGTAAGTCACTTGATTAGAGCTATCGATAAACCACAAAAACGCCTGTAAAAAGGATAAAATACGTCTTCACAGAAGGCCTCAAGTGGCGCCGCTATAACAGAACAGTACCTATCATTTGAGCCAACATGTCGTGTGGTCTGTTAAAGGGGTGACTTATAAAACCCGATACAAATGTTTCAACTTTGACAGTCTCATCAGTCATGAGGGTACCCTTCTGGTCTTTTGCCAACCCTCTCGGGGCGCTCAGTCCCCTATACTAAGAATAGGCGACGACGAACAATTTTCATTATAAGTGAAGTGAAATTATCACTGAATGTCTTTTGTTTCGAGTGTTTTCTTAAGACCACAGCTCAAATTTCAATATGCCGGGTAATTATTATTTGAGCCACGCATGTCAGTGGTCTGTTAATGAGGGCTGACTTATAGAGCCCGATACACGTGTTTCGATCTTGCGATCTCGTCAGTCGGGCAGTTGCCCTTTCTCGTCTTTTGCTAATCTCTGTGGGTGCTCCAGTCCCCCTCATTAACAGACCACTGACATGCGTGGCTCAAATAATAATTACCAGGCATATCACTGAATGATTAGGGCTTAAAATGGTCTGAAGAAAACACTCAAAACGAAATGTATGATATATTAACGAAACCAGCTAAGAGCAATCGAGTGTATAACACTTCCAATTCAGTGATATTCCACTTAATGGACGGTGTAAAATGTTCGTCGTCGCCTACTCTTAGTATAGGGCGACTGAGGGCCCCGAAAGGTTTCGCTAAAGATGAAGGGTACTGTCCGACTGTTGAGGCCGTCAAGGTTGAAACATGTGTATCAGGCTCTATAAGTCAGCCCCTATATAACAGACCAGATGGCATGTTGGCTCGAAATAGTACTTATGAGATAAGATAAAATTTGAGCGTGATCTAAGGAAAACACTCGAAAGAAAGAAAGATTATAACATGTTTTCAGACGTTTGTGAGGTCTGAAAACTACTACACAGGCGCCAGTTTCGTCATCAAGGACTCTTCAGTAGCGCTGTTCCTCGGTTTAGTCGATCCCAAGAGGCTATACTCCCCTGTGAAGGAATCGACGTCGAGTAATAGATCACCGTAAGTCAGGTGATAGAATCCGCTGACATTGCAGAGACTAGCAGTCGAGTTTTGGGCTATTAAAATGAGTCATACCCCTCCATTTGACCACTCTTTTTCTCTGTTCTCGTTTTGAGCGCGGTCTATAGAGAAGCGGTCGAGTGGAGAGCTTTGTCATCTTTCACAAACTAGCGCCTTAAATATGAAATATAAGATAATTTCCGGACGAATTCTTATGTTTTATCGTTTCAGTAGCAGTATTATGACGATGTAACCATATATGCAGAAATATTGAGTGATGTGCAAAACTTTGAACTTCGGCGGGACTTGAAACCCGAGTCTCATCCTCTCCGGGAGCGCGTGCTAACCACTGCACTAGCAGAGATCCTATTTTGATACCACTCTTTCTGTGATTTTCTCTAGATACCTCTCATTCACTGATAGGGTCGTCTTCCCAGGATTTCCACATCACAGCAGTCACAGCGAATGTCGAACAGAGGCGCACTTCATTTCGATGCACTTTCTACCACAAATGGTTTCATGAGCGCACAATTTGCTCATTGGAGCGCGTTTACTACATAAGCTTCGCATCTCTTCTCTCTCAATCAGTCGTTTTCGCCTCGTGTTCTGCAAGTTTTCTTCCTGAGGACTGCTTCTCGCTTCCTGTTACTTCTCCACGACAACTCGACGCAAGCGACGGCTGAAAGATGAAGGATGAGTTATGAAAGAAATACACGCGATGCAACCAGTGTACAGACTGATCCGAGATGATTTAGTCAGCGTATTCGGAGATCCGTGTGGTGGACGTTAGTGATTCAAAAAAAAATGAGTTTTCTTTACTTTTTTTTTAGAAGAGAATTTTCGCTGCCGTCGGTGTTTCAGTAGTTTACAAAAGGAAAAGGGTTTTTTCTGATCAGGAAGGAACAGATGAAAAATCGATTTATTCGCTGAAGAAGAACTTCTCATAGGAGTGTTGGTAGCCATTCGAGAGCTGGGACTTGTGGCTACAATCCTACGTCGTCAGTTCCCAAACACCTCTTTAAAACGCTTTAACATTCCACATAAAATCATGTTTCATAAAACCACGTGTTTTTTTCTATTATCTCGCTTATATCTCGCTGGACAAAACTCCTTTCTCAGAGTGCTAGTACTCAAACTATAGCATGAGCTTCAAAGAAATGAAAAATGTGATTGTTTTTCAAAAAATTTCCTTGATCTTTTGATCTCCTCTGGTCTTTTAATTTGTACTTTAACCTTGCTGGTCAAAACTCTTTTCTCGACTATCAGTAATCATTGACAGCGTAATGTTTTCTGATTCTAGCGATGTGCTTATTCTCTCGGAAATCGGTTTAGCAGGGAAATAAGATCGATTTCTACATTTTGGTAACATTGTTTACAGGCCATTCGACAAGGGGAGGGCTGTGACAGGGGCGGGCGAGGCGGATAAATCGATATTTCGTCATTCGATTGAAAATTCTTCCTCCGCTTCGAAAGAAACTTCAGATAAGACGACTTGATGAAGTTCTACGGAATTTTCTCTACAAATCGATATGCTTTTCGACTTCCAGCGAATCATACGCGTGATGAAAATGAAGGCGAAAGGACGACTGTGGACCATAATTGTCGGTCTGGATGCTACAGCGTTATAATGGGATGTTTTGGAAAACCGGCGACGTGGGGTTGTAGCCTGAAGTCTGAGCTCTCAAATGGTTGCTAGCACTCTTCTAAAAAATTCCCCTCCAGCGAATAAGATCGGTTTCTCATTTGTTCCCTCCTAATCAAAAGGAACCAGGAAAAGCACTCAGCCATTCCGTTATAACGGTCACCGCTACTCGATTACTGAGTACATCTAGCGTTGACGCCTTTTCGAGTTTCTACGTCAGTGGCATACGTGCGTGTCGGCGGTGTCATCCGCTTCATAGTGGCCCACGTCCCGCACTGAACCCCCCTCTATAGCAGGGATGAAAAGATGTTTTTGCTGACAGCGCGTGATTCCTGTCGTCACAGTTTTTTCCTTTCGATTCCATAGTGTTCACCGCCGTTACGATATCATCGGCACATGCACGATTCTACACGGATACGTATTTCTATTGAGAACGACACTTGGGACCCGAATTTTCTCATTTTAGACTTCCCTTCGGATCTCCCGTATTGAAGAATGATCCAGGATTTTTCGGAGTACCGGAAGTGTTCCTGATTGAGATGGAGTACATCGACGTTGTCGTGATGAGCACCACTCCCCTCATATCGTTGATAGACACAGAAAGGACTCCTCATAAGCCTGCAGCTCCTCACAGCCAAATTCCTAGTTCCCGCCAGGACGTGCGGTTCTTCGACGAGTGCTCTCATGTCCATCGCTGTCTTTGCTGCAGAACATCGTCGAATGAAGTGAAGTGTTGTAACTGTATCTATGAAATCAAGAGAACCTCCTAATTCAAGTGTTTTTTTCAGCAGTGGTATGATGTTACAATTATATATCGGTTCTTTTCGATTATAAGGAGACAAATAAATATCCGACCTTATCCGCAGGATAGGGACTTTTCCTAACAGTTTAGTAATCGTTCAAAAGCTTAACTGTCTGGCTAGAGCTGTACTGGGCCGCTTCTCGAAAAATCCTTTTATTACGCTGCAAAGTTTGAAATAAATCAATGTTTTCACACGCGCGTATTTCTCGCAGGATAGAGCTCTTTTTTCGACTATCAGCAATTATTCATAGCAAAGTCTCAATGAGCCCAGCGCCGTGCTTATTTTTTCGAAAAGACCGTTTCTCTGCAGTGAAGCTGGGAAATAAAATTGGATTCGGATGCGCGTGCAGGTGACCTTTGACCAGTGCACGGGCTGCTGGTGAGGCGGCACGTATACGATCGATTTTGGACCGGTCCCATGGAAATGCGATCTTTGTTATTCAATTAGGAATTGTTTCTCCTTTTGAAAGAAAGACTCCAGGTTAAAGCTAGAATTGCTGCTGCTAAAATACTTTAATGCTTTTTATTTGCCGTGGATGCGGATAAATCACTCATTATGACCACTCTGATGGAATTCAGAATCCAGGACGTCCTTAATTGCTTCCAACAGTAGCTCGAAGACATTTAGATACTGCGAGATTTCTTCTGCACGTCCATACACTCGGAAATCGGCCGATCGTCGCGTCAGCTCACCTCACCCAACGGCCCGTGAATTGGCCACGAATCACTTGCTCGCACATGCGATTTCAACCTCATCTTCTTTGCTGCACGCCAGAGAAGAGGATTTTTAAACTCAGGCTTAGCAATGGAATCACTGAAACTCATGCTATCGAATGATTGCTAATAGTCTGAAAAAAGAGCTCTGTCCGGCGAGAAGTATGCGTGTGTGAAATATAATTTCATTTTGAACCTTACAGCGTTATAAAAGGGTCTTTTCGATAACCGCCTACGTACAGCTCTAGCCAGAGATTTAAGCTTTTGAGTGATCACTAACACTCCAGTGAATTATACCATTATTTCGAGTGCTTTGTTTAGACCACGCTCAAATTTCAATATATCCTTTCATCATTATTTGAGCCAACTTGTCATGTGTTCTAGTAAGGGCTCTTGTACAGCCCGATACACGTGTTTCGTCCTTACAGACTCACCAGCCGGGCAGAACCCGTCGTCTGTCGATCTTTTCATAGTCAGTTCTCTCGGGAGCGTTACACTCCTTATAGAGAGTCATCGACGACGTACGCTTTACACTCTAGTCAAGTGAAATTTTCACCTAACACAGAGTGTTTGTGCACTCGATTGCTCATTGGCTGGTACTTTTATCATAATTATACCTTTATTTCGAGTGCGAGAGTTTACTGACTATAAAAAAAGACCGAAAGGCGACGGGTTCTGCCCGGCTGACGAGTCTGTAAGGACGAAACACGTGTATCAGGCTGTACAAGAGCCCTTACCAAGCTCCAGTGAATTGTTCCTTTACAGCAGGTGAAGTCGATTATTCCTTTTTCCCCCCTATAACCGAAAAGAATCATATATTCGACGCTGTAGCGTGATATGGAGATTTTGAACCTCAGCAGGAGTCGGACCCGCATATCAACTCTTTCGGGGGCGCGCTCTAACCCACTACACTCTCGCGCTCCAGTTCTGCTACCACTTCTTCTGTGTTGTGTACAATCGATGAGTGTCTATCAACTTGCACAACACTCTTCTTAAGTGACTTCTGAGGAGTCTTTACAGCGATTATCGTTCCAGTAGGTTTTGTAGGAAGTTCGTGCCAATTTGGTTCTTTAATATGATCTTTGCAGAGAAATTGCATGATACCAATATCGTTCAAGTGCGCCTTTTCTTGCGAATATTTCGTTATACTACTTGTCTATGCCTGCTTCAAGATGGAGCTGTCTTGAGAACAAATCTGCTAGTTACTCATGCGCGAATGACGCGTAGGGAAAAGTGTCATTGAAGCGGCGCGCAAGATTAATGGAGTTTGGGGCGATGATACTGTTGCAGAAAAGGACGGTTACGAAGTGATTCACGAAATTCAATGTGGAAGAGAACAGTCTGGGGATCGATCAGTCGCTATAGGGGCTCCCCAGGAAGCTCCATCAATTTTGCGTGCCACCTCACTAGCATTTTCCTCTGGGAGCCATTCATGCCTAAATAGCGAGCGAATTTGTTCCCGAGACAGCTCTATCTTAAGGCAACATAGGCAAGATGTATGCAGAAATGTTTGCAAGAAAATACACAGTGGAACAATACCAAAATTTTGCAATTTCAACGCGAAAATCTATCGAAAAGACCAAAATGTCACGATTTTTTTTGAATAACGTATTGTTTTGCGCTCACTTGTGAAAGTTTTTTCGGCTATGTCGCTTTTGTACCGAAGACGTCTTCTTAGGTTTGTTCTATTCGTGTTTATACTGGCCTTAATTATCAAATTATTTACCATATCATTTTCAGGTAGAGATGATAAAAGTTCTGATACTGTTGCTTCCTCTAGTGATTAGTGAGAAAGAACGAGAATCCGACGGTGCTGCGGCTCGGATTCATCGTCATCAATCAAATGACGACGATAGTCACCATGCTGATCACCAAGCAATACTTGGTTAGTCCTAATCATCTCTATCGGTTTGAGACTTCCAATTACTTGTTTTCCTCATTGCTTTCACTATTTTGTCCATCAGAAGGAGAGCGCTCTCGGCGTTGATCACCCGCCGAACCATGCGCAATGGATCATTCCATTTCCGTTACCCGCACCCTACTCCGAGCTCTGAGGAAGGACACATTTTTTAGCTTTTTTTGTGTTTTAATAATCATTGGACAGCTTAAGTTAAAAGAATTTGGGTGGTGTTTTTCGTTTTTGAAATGGCTTTACTATTGCTCGATAACAGCAAAAATAAAGCTATGTTTCTAATTAAAAACATCTATC